ATACGGCGGGGGATAGTTTTTACCATATTGTAGTTAAGTTGTAGTTAAGCATAACCTTGAGCCATAATTCCTGTCCCCGAAACCTTGACTCAGAAGTACCGGGTTGGTGTCCGGCGGGGGATAGTTTTCCACCAAAGTTTTAACTGTTGTTTGTTTTCTTTGTTGTACTGTGCTGGTTACTTTTTGTTGTTGTTATGTATTTGCAGGACCATATTGTAAAACAGCGGTAAGATCTCGTCTGTATATGTTATCCTGCCTAAAGATGTTTTAAATAAAATAAAATAAATAATATATATATATATACATACATAATATTAGATCGATTTATAAGGTGCAAATAAATACATATACTGTATATATATAGGATATATATATGCCTATACAGTACATATATACATAAATGTATATATAGCCATATACGGTATATGTATATATATACATTGATTATTTCTTCTCCATGATTAGCTTCCACTGGTCCCATTGGAAAGTAGATTAAATTATTATTAATATTTTAGTTCTCATTACTGTACTTTAATGTTTGATGTATAAATATATACACTTCAAGTAACTTTCTTTCCCATTACTCATACCTAATAAATTTCGAAACGGACCGCAGCTCAACTGCTCTAATTTTCCTTGTATGTAAATCACAATCATTTTGAAATTCATAATTTCTCGATAACCTCATTTCTTTATTGGCCCAACTCACATATTTGATCGTGTTTTCCTCATCATCAGAGAGTTAAAGCTCATCACGTCCACCCGCAATAAATCAAGAGATTGGTTAAGCTAGCGATCAAAATTAAAAAGATATAAAATTATTTGCTTGCCTCATTTGCCCATCTATTAAACTGATGAATATACGGAATTGTCATTACCGCGTTCTTCACACAACGCTAAACACACAATGGGAGAAAATACTCCGAGAAACAGTTTGAGGCACAATTTCAACTGTATTAGTAAGCCAAAGGAGTTCACTTTATATGTATTATTAAGTACGAATTAGTGTCTTAGAAAGAATAAAGTACGTGAAGAAAACCCCAGTTTATATCATGATTGAAGAGTTGCGCTCATTATTTTAACTAGGCCTGTAGTAACATACGTGAATTTAAAAAGAATCGCTGCAAAATGACATGTATTGATGACTGAGAAACTTACTTATGTCAGATGGTTGTACTACAGAGAAAAAGACTTAGGCCTAAATCAATCTTAACAGTCCACGATATGCGTATAGCTATTACATTTACATTAATACTGTAATAGAAAGGAAAAAAATGAGTGAATTTCGTAACACGCATACTGGTAACTTAAATTCGAGGTTTGAGTCGGAGTTTGATAAAGACCCTGAGACTACCAATACGGTAGAGCCGACTAGTACTACCACTGTAAACTTCTTGATTCGACATTGAAATTCTTGCAGAAACGATTGATAATTTTCAGTGCAGCTGGTGTGAAAATCCCATGTGGAGTGCAATACAAATGTAATTATAATCATATGATCCTGAACAATTAGCTCCACCAGGAAAGATAATATTTGAATACTTACAACATTAACATCGTTCGAAGTTTCACAACTGACAGCAACAAAAACAAACACTTGAATTAGTTCAGGGCAATGTGGACGATCGCGGGCGTTTGTAATAATTACTTACACACTGTGTGTTCTTCCATATCATGGGAAATAAACCGACTCGATGTTATCTCATCACCTGATTAATTCGTTGCGAATTAATTCAACAACGGCACAAGAGGTTAACACATGTTGAAAACTTGTCTCAAAAATGAATTAATTAAACATGATCGCCACAGGGGTGTCGGTTACCTTCGCCTTAACAGTTGCATCCATCTTTGATGACCTACGGGACACATTCGTGCAAGAGATCCCTAGCGCGCACGCGCATACGCTAGCGAGAATTGGACATCAAGAAATTGGACATCAAATATTAGTATAAAATTGTTTAAACTAAACGAACTGTGTTACGTTTAAGTTTGCTTTCCAACCACTGGGTCCTGGGATCGGGAATCCCGAGAAGGTAATTTTTATCTCACGAATAAAAATAATCCGGAATGCAAACAGTTCCAATTGTTACTACGTCTAGAATGAGGCTATTTGAATCATTAATATTATAGAAACTCCATACATATAACCGTCGAGTCCCTTCGATGTGCGAATCTTTAGGGAAATGTACGCGACTGAGCTTTGTTATAGGCCTACACGTAATGACAAATAAAGTTTATCCATCGATACTCATACATCTTTAGATATACATTCCAGTATAACTTTATTGAAAAGAAACATACGTTAATATTATCACACTAACGAATGATGTTTAATTCATGAATGAAAGTAGAGATAGAAAATATTAAATATTTTAGGCTAACCCATTCAAAGATACAAGCATAGCTATATTTACACTCTAGTATAGGCTTATGCCATATAAGTTCATATGCGAAATTACTTATCATAAGAATCTGCGTTTCCATAAATTTATCGATGCAAAGTTCGTAATCGATTTCAAAAATTAATGTTACATGGCGGATGATTGGTCATAGACATATGGACAGTTCCTTCTGTAGCCGACGAATACAAATTGTAGACCACTGAGGCGTTTCATCGAGGTTCATCCTAGGGGATGGGTGCGAATCGGCTATTTCTCTCTGCGTTGAGAATATTGTAGATCGATACGTCAGGATATTTGATGGTTGAAGCGATCAACAGATAATTCTTTCTCTGTTAGGCTGATCCTTCTAGCGTTTAATGCGCTTGGTATCAATATGGTATCAGTACCATCAGATGACATCAATTACCCACAAATTTTAATGAGCCACTAATGATGATACTGGAGAGAGTATTCGTTATCTGGGGACGTCCATCACTATGGTGCTTAGGGCTCAATCACAGATCACTTGGCTCAAAATAAACTGTTCCCATGCCGGTGTCTATACGTGGTTAGCGGAGCAGTGGCAGCAGTACCTACTACCCAACGTGTTATATAAGCCTACAGTACTGTATTTATATTAAATTTAGTAAAGATTCCATTTAGATTTCGTGTATATTATTTTGATACGACTGGCCTCTCGTGAAGCAATGAAACATTTGTTGCAAATGTATTTTAAATGTGACAATTTAGATTTCAAAGGCACAGTGGAAAAAAAATTCTTTATAAATAAATACCGTTTAAAATAACTGTAGATAAACATCTGAAAAAATCTTCAATATATTATTGTCAACATTTGCTTTATTTCTGATTTGATTACCGGTATTAATGAAGAAATATCAGAAGTTTCAACAAAAATATGAAAGTTTTTCTGCTTTGCTTAACACTTCAAATATAGAGCTTTCATTAATAATATTTTCGTTGCTATATTGCCTTTGATTATTCAACGATAATAATTATCATTTTTATCAAAAGCATATGTCTACTGCATCACGAGTGTAGAAGTTGTCTTATGCAGTAGGCTACTACAGAATCAAACTGTTTACAACATCAAAATCATTTACAACAAAACTCCGGATGACGGCATTTTAGTTTCATGGGAATGACCACGTCGTAGCCCTCAAATTGATATGAGATCGTTAATCGCTAGTATTTAGTCGCCAACACAACACATCTATATTATAACTTTAATTAAATGCAACACATTGTGTGCGAAGAACAGATAAGCCTAATCATGAATAAATAGGAGTTTTAACCATGGGATATCTAGGCCTATCAGAATATATAACAATATAAATTTCAAACCACTCATTTAAATAAAATACCAGTTATTATTACCTTAATTTTTATAGGATCTGTTTCTATAAGGCATTGGCCTACAGACCTTATTGAATATAAAAATCTGAAACTTCTCTGCTTGAAGAAATATTATATAAAATCCTATTATTTAACAAGGAAACTCAACAAGAATTACGTTGTTGCTATGCTTTTATATACTTTGGAAATCAAACTTATGAAAACGATTATTTTAGAAGCATATATAAAGAATATTGTCCTGATTGGAATGGCAAGCATAGGCTGTTCGGCTTTGAAAGATCGTAAATAAACCCAGGCCCAGACACTAGACGTCTCATATTATATACACATCAGTATTTACAAATAGTACGGTAGGCCGCCTAGGCATAAAAATTGTTCATAACTCATGTTTTTCTATCCGAGTGTAGTGTGTTTGATACCATCTCCTCAACTTCGCTTTCTGCGCACGAGTCATCTGAATGTGTTTCTGTCATATTTACGCGTTCGGTTGTTGATGATCCTTCGTCATTCGAGTCTGTTTCGGAACCACAGTTGATTACTGTTCCATTTAAATGAATTGAAACTTGGGTTCCGTTTCCGTCATCTGAGTCAACGTTCTCGGCGTTCGACGGATTCATCGCTGAAACGTCAGCGCTCAGTTCGTCTAAATCACGTTTTAACTTAGCTCGTCTGTTCTGGAACCACGTAATAACCTGGGCATTGGTAAGACCTAATGATGAAGCAATCTCGTCTCTGTCTGCTGGAGTGAGGTATTTCTGATACAAGAATCGCCTTTCGAGTTCAAAGATTTGTTGGTTTGTAAATGCGGTTCTTGATTTGCGTTTTTTTCGTGGCGGCTGACGTGCGAACAACGTAATCGCGTCCCTCTTCCCGTGCGTAGCAGCAGCTATGAATAAAGAAAGACAGATATATATATATTATGTAACGATGAAAGTGCTTCAAATTAATCATAAAGATTACGAGGAACAGTTGCACATTGTCAAGAGACCAACAAGAATAGCGTAACTCATTTAATACAAAAATCACTTATCAAATTAATTAATATAGCAATATTTCAATTTCAACACAAATGGAATTTGTATACATTCACATACAGTGCACCATTTGTGAAATATAAAATATGATCAAAACATAATTGAATCAGATCCCTTTTAAACAATTCATTCATTCATTCATTCGTTATTTATTTTATTTAGGCCTACTTTCTCTTTGAAAAAGTGCAACATTTTATAATCATGGTGAAGAAAAAAAACATTCTGTTCCGCGTGATATTTTTTCTGGTTAAATATGCCTGACTGATGATAGATTCACTCATGCTTTTTCGTTATCTTACGTGACAACAACGACCGGGTTAAAATGGCCTAACATTTACTTTAACAACACACACCCGTGACAGCCAAACTTTTTAAAAATAGCCTTTGAAAATCGGAACTGCGCTTCCAAACTTGTTAAACGCAATCAAAATTATTTAACTAGACAAATTTTTGGTTTGGACAGTAAATTTAGACGGAGTTTACATGTACGGGCACTCTCGTCTTGATTGTCCGAGGATAAACATGTCAATCATAAAGTCTGTACAATTACTGATGTAATTTAGGGAAACATTTCGTACGTTTTTCGGACGGAAATATCTTCTTTTTTTTTTTAATGGAAGGTCTTGTTAGCCTCTCTGTCCAGTCACGGTATACCGCAAAGTACAATCATCTTCATAATAAATGATCAAAATTAAGCAGGGACACATCTTTCCTCTGTTTATTCATCAAACACATAGTTTAAACTCTGGTGAACTTCTTAGAAAAAAGTTTGTAAAAAGACGGTACTTGTCTAACCACGAAGGAATCACTCAACATAAATATCAAACGTAGCCCTCTGTGCTTCAAAGTGTGGCCGCAAAGAAACACAGATTAATTATATTTTTTCCACGTGCTCTCCATATGAAATTAAAGGTTTGTAAAGGAGACCAATAGGTAATTAATTGGACTGAACTGGGAAAGACGGAAATCAAAACTCGAGGCGGTCGTCCTTTGTTCAATATGTAATTGTTTTATCCCCATTTTAATTGGCCAATTTGATCCAATTTTGAATTTTTTTTTTTATAGCTGCCTGGATAATTACAAAAAATTATTTTTGATCGACCTTCCCGTACCGTCACTTTTGTATCATCTATCTGGGTGTGGACTTCCGATTTTTGATATAGAATGTCCGAAATTTTGTCAGGTTGGTGGAGGCGTAAAGAGTAAACGAAGCAGGAGCGTATGATTCACTGTCGTTAAGTCAATCAAGAAGCTTAGCAATAAATTAAGTTTAAATTCACACTTAGAAATACCATACCTGTTTTGTGTTGGAGTTTGTCAGTCGTTTTAGATACGTGTTTATATCTGAAGATTATTTCGAGTTTTTCGAATGAATCATTACCATAATGACAGTAGGCCTACATACTCTTCAGGTCTAGACGATGGTATTAATGTAGAAATATGCCTATTATTTATATTTCCTTTATTGTTTTTTTTCTACTTCAAGAGCCACTAATCACTTAATCCATCACTAGCCGAATAATAATAGGCATAAAATATTTAACAATAACAAGAATATGCCATGTAAGACTAATAATGACATTAATAATAATATTATTAATAACAAAATAACACTCCTAAACTCTTAACAATATTAATATATAATACATCTTACATAAAGTCGCAACTGGCAACCGTTGCTATCATAATATAAAAAGAATAATTTCGTTTGCACTTCACTATAAGAGTTGTCTTTTAGCTCAACGAGTTTATAATTTCATCCTTCTAACCAAAAATTTACATCATTATAAAACTCTTCACTCAGCCTGACTGCAACCCATTCATAATGACCTGGTACTTATGCTTCGGTATACCCCATTCATGGTTTCAGTTCTAGACGATGGAGTTGGTGTAGAAATATTGTATTTTCTTTATTATTTTTTTTTTAACTTTTAGAGCCACTAATCACTTAATCCATCACTAGCCTAATAATAATAGGCATAAAATAATTGGAAGTTAACCATAACAAGAATAGGCCTATGTCATGTATGTCTAATAATGACATGAATAATAATAATAATAATAATAACAAAATAATACTCCTAAATTCTTAACAATTATAGGCCTATATACCGTAATACATCTTTAAAGTCGTAACCGGCAACGGTTGCTATCATATAAAAAGAATTTCGTTTGTACCTCATTATAAGACTTGTCTTTTAGCTCAACGAGTTTATAATTTCATCTTTCTAACCAAAACTTTACATCATTATAGAACTCTTCACTCAGCCTGACTCAGCCAGCCTCCACCCCTGCAACCCAATCATAATGACCTGGTACTTAGGCATACGTACCCAATTCATGGTTGTGTGTATTCACCGCAGTGTCATTAAAATAATAAACTGTCATTATTAATGACGTGAGAGAATTGAGTTAATTACAACAGGCTTAGCATCAGTTGTTGAGGGTTGTTGGATTGTATGTATCCAATTTAAGTAGTGAATAGCAGTATTACTTATGCTTATTTTCATTTCATTTTGCTTGTAATTCGTTAAAATTATAATCAAAACGTTTTTTATTATTAAAAAAAATTCAAAAACTTTTATTTGTCCAAACTATCTGATATTTAATTCCAAAAATTACTATTCTTATTAAAAATGTTCATTATTATTTTTATTTAAAAAAATGTTTTTATCTGATATTCGATAAAAAAAAATCAAAAACTTTTATTTGTCCAAATTATTATCTGATATTTAATTGTTAAACTGAATGCTTAAAGGTTTCCAGATATGCTTTATCTTCAAGACCATACTTTTATGTTAGTGTTTGTTACGACAAATATATATATATATATATATAAAACAATGATATTTATATAAAAAATGATAAATATATATCTTCAAGACCATACTTTTATGTTAGGGTTTGTTACGACAAATATATATATATATATATAAAACAATGATATTTATATAAAAAATGATA